AAAAAGGTAGAGAAGGAGAATAATGAAGAAAAAAATGGAAAAATTCAAAAAGAAAAACAAGGAACCAGGTTAACTACAAGAAAAAAAAAATTGCAACCAGGAATAGGGAAAAGAAATAACGCTGAAAACTACAACCTGGGAGGGGAAGAATAAAGACTAATAGTAAAAAGGACAAAAGTAATAATAATAGTAGTAGTTTTAAAACAGACAAAAACGAACAAACTGAAAAAAAGAAAAAAAAATCGGGGTAGGGTACCCAGGCTTCATCCCAGCACACAGACTGGGATGGAATTCTTGCTGGCCAAGAAGGTGGGTGGGAGTGAGGGATGGCTGCATCTCCATTCACCAAGACGGTGTGGGGTATAAGAGTAACAAGGGGAATGTTGCACCTTTCCAGTCATCTGGGTCCAGAATGTTGTTGGGGTTCCTGGCAAGTGGAGACTGTTAAGTCCCTGGAATCTAGGAGAACACTGTCACTTTAAACATACAAAATGGTCAAGCTTTTTGTAAACATTCAAAATGGCTGCACCATCTGGACAGACAAAAGTCCACAGCTCAGCCTGCCTTCTTCTTCGCTACTTCCCCTTCTATTCCCCAATTCCCCAGCCACAAGAGCAGTCCTCCGTGCAGTCCTTGGCTAGCAGGGCTGATGGATAATTCTCAGGTCCTCCCACCACTCGGCAATATCCAAGCTGTCTGTGCTGTCAGGATCGCTGCCAGACCACAGCTCCATATGTCCTCTTTTTTGGTGTTTTCATGCAAATTCTTCCACTGGTTGGAGTTTAGTCCACTTCTATATCCTTCTCTTCAAGGCTCAGGGGTCCAGGATTATCTTCTGTATCTGTGTTAATTGGTTCCCTTTTTCTTTGTTGAAGAGGGTCTGTGCAGTCTTTCTGCCTATTCCGCCATCTTACTGGAACTCCTGTTAAGTCGAATTTTTACTTCAAAATTAATTGCTGGTGTCCATATGTTATCTAAAATAATTTTTTTAAAGATTCATAGTTTTTATTTTGTGTTCACAAGTAGTTTAATGCTTTTAATTCTGATCCAGGAGGTTGAAGAATAATGTTAAATGATACCACACATCTGGAGAGCTCTTTACCATTTTCCAAGCTTGCTCAATGAATTATTTTATTTGATCTTCACCATAATCCTGAGAGGGACGCAGAGCAGATGGTAACTTGATTTTACAGATGAGAAAATTGAGGCTCAGGAGTGAGGTGTCATAGGTGCAGAACCTGGAGCTAGAAGTTGGGCACTGGGTCTTGGGCAAGTGTAACTTTCCACACTGTTCCAAAACAAAATCATTTCCATCTCCTCCACTCTTTGAATGAACTTGAAATTCTTGGCTTATTTCTGATTGGGTGTGGCTAAACAGAATAGGTTATCCACACACAGATAAATATTATTAGAATATGAAGAATTCTTGGTTTTGACTAATAATTGTATTTCTAAAGCTTTCTTTCTTTTAATAATACTTTCCCTCAGTCCTTCCATTTTAATCAACTTTCAAAATTCTAGTTATTTTAGTAACACTCCAACTTTCTTAGAATCTGATGATACCCTTAGCCCCATAGGCATTCATATAGGTAACACTTTTAAAGGACATTAAAAAAAAAGAAAAAGGAACCAAACTCACTGCCATCGAGTTGATTCCAACTCATAGCAACCTCCACTGGGTTTCTGAGGCAATAAAGATTTATGGAAGTAGATCGCCCCATCTTCCTTCCATGGAGCAGCCGGTAGGTTTGAACTGCCAACCTTCTGGTTAGCAGTCAAATGCCTTAGGCACTATGCCACCAGAGTTCCTTCTGAAAGGACATAAAAAACCAAACAAACACACTGCTGTGGAGTCAGATCTGATTCATAGCAATCACTCCTTGGATTTCCGAGGTGCTATCACTACGGAAGTAGACTGCCCAACCTTCTTTCCAAGGAGTGGCTGGTGGGTTTGAACCACCAGCCTTCTGGTTAGCAGTCAAATACCTTAGGCACTATGCCACCACAGACATTTGTTTTCTCAAAAAATATTTACAGCACTTTTCTTATTTTTTCACATACTATTAAAATTTTTACTATTTAGCACCTGCAAAGAGTACATGTAACATCATTGTAAATTATGAAGCGTAGTAATTATAATAGTTTAAGAAGCATGTGAACTTGCCGCCTAATTTTAGACCAGAACATTACCATAGTAATAAATGGTACCAAAGCCCTGTGTATTCCTCATGGATTCCAATCCCTTGCTTCTCTTTCACTCTAAGGTTACTAATCTGTTTATTATTCTCATGCTTAAAAGGGGAAAATTAGTTTTACCAACTATATATATTCAGAATCAACTCGACAGCAGATAGCTTTTTTGAACTAAACCAGCTACCATTAAGTTGACTCTGAATCATGGCAACCTCATGTGTGTCAGAGTAGGACCGTGTCCCATAGTGATTCCTCTCTTTATATTTTTTACTGAGCACTTTTTGTGTCAAAGTATCACTAGGAAATTTAAGATGATTCAAATACGAATCATTTTACCTTCCAGTTTCCTCATCTAGCAAGATAACTCTTTGTTCGTCATTTCTAATTCCCTCAACAAGTTGTGTATTCAACTCAGCACTCTCCCAAGGGCTATACCCTGTATGCAAGAAAGCTCTTACAATTCACGCATTATTGTATAATAGAAAGAACTATGGGCTGGAAAATGTGCCTGTCATCAGTCAGTTGTATAAGCTTAGCCACTTGGCACCTTCTCAGGGCCTTAGTTTTCCTTGCATTTATTTGTTTGCTTTTTACCTGCAAAATGGAGATTATACTCAAAATCAAACAGCTTCATGAAATTACAAATTAAGGAACAAAATATGGCAAATTATGTGATACAATTACAGCAGCAGCTTTGTAAAAATGTATCTGCCTGTGGACAAGAACATGAAGATCATTTTTAGAAATAAAAGAATATATGAAGTGGTAGGGCAGTTAGGGTTTTTCTTCTTTTTCCTCCCTTAAAATTTTTTTGACTGTGCTCTTAGAATATAATTTTGATGAATTTTTTTCCTAACTGCAGGGTGGAATGGATAAGCAAAAGACATAATGCACAAAGCATGGCATATTATGAAGTCATTAAGATGACTGTACAGTATTTTTAATAACATGGTGTGGTCGTTATGTTTTGTGTCAACTTGGCTGGGCCTCGTTGAGTGGCTGGGCAGCTGGTGGTAGTTATTCCCCATGAAGAGACTGGCAATCAACTCCATGGAGGGATTTACCACAAGCAGCTGAGAAGCTGCTTTGGTTATGTGGTCTGCTTCCCATATAAGCAGCAGCTTTGGGAATGGTCTCTAGTTTATGGTACCTTGAACGCTGCATGTAGCCGTGTTGTTGTTCAGCAGCCTGCCATGCTCTGCCGACCTTGGGACTTACAATGGACTTGAGTTAATGGCCTGCTGTGTGATTTGGTAATATCAGGACTGTGCCTTTTTGCTTGCTAACCTTGGACTTGTCAGCCTCAGGAGCCAGCAGCTGTCTGAGTGAAGAAAAGCCTCTAGCTTCAGTGGGCCAGGAGCTGGAGGCAGAGCTGAAGCCCAAGGTTGAGGGGCTTTCACCAGCCCCTAGAGCCTGGCACTTTGAACTTGGACTTAAAGCCTCCAAATTGTAAAAGAATAAACTCCTGTTTGTTTAAGCCATCCCATTTGTGGTATATTTCTGTCAGAGCAGCACTAGGTAACCAGAACACATGGGAAAATGTTTAAGATAAAGTTTGTACGTATAACTTATTTTAATTATGTAAAAATATAATGCACACCAAAAAGAATTCAAAATAACGTGCTGTATCTTTGAGTAGGGGAATTATAAAGGACTGTCCTCCACTTCTTTCTATATCCCTTAAGTTTATATGTTGGACAAATATAGATTTGATTAGGGGAAAAAAAACAGTATATGTTATTCTGTAAAATAATATTGTGGTAAAAAAATAAATTACAACTCTCTTACCCAAATTGCATATTCCTTTTTCCAACTGGTACCCAACTGGGCATTTGCAGGTGTAGGATCCCTGAGTATTGTTGCACGTGGCCAGGGGTGGGCAGGGGTTCAAGAGGCATTCATTCACATCTGCAGAGAAGAGGAAAGCAGACCATATGGTATCTGTGGCAGACAGAACAGTAAGCACTTACTAAGGGTCAAATTGGTATGAGGTATAGTGGGACCACAGAGATGAGTAAGACACCACCCTTGTTTTTAAGGGGCTGACAGTCTACTGAGGGTGGAGGCAGCTAGGGAAACCACTAACTATAAATACCCATTGACCAATTCTGACTCATAGCAACCCTAAAGAACAGAGCAGAACTGCCCCATATGGTTTCCAAGGCTATAATCTACACAGAAGCAGACTGCCACATCTTTCTCCCACAGAGTAGCTGTGGTTTTGAACTGCTGACCTTTTGGTTAGCAGCCGAGTGCTTAACCAATGTACCACCAGGGCAACTTAACTATAAATACAAGCCAGGATTTGGAAGTACAGGGAAAGGAGCAGATTTTGACAGATGGGGAGAATTAAGGACTGTTTAAATAACATCTGGAGAGAGACTAAACCAAACCCACAGCCACTGAGTCAATTCTGACTCATAACGACCCTATTGTTGTTGTTATGTGCCATTGAGTCGGACCCGACTCAGTGACCCCTCCTTGGGTTTCTGAGGCGGTATCACTACGGAAGTAGATTTCTCCACCTTCCTTCTGAGGAGTGGCTGGTGGGTTTGAACCACCAGCCTTCTGGTTAGCAGTCAAGTGCCTTAGGCACTATGCTACCAGAGCTCCCCATAACGACCCAATAGGACAGAGTAAAACTGCCCCATAGGGTTTCCAAAGCTATAAATCTTTATGGAAGCAAACAGCCTTATATTTCTCCCATGGAGTGACTAGTGGGTTCGAACCATCAACCTTTTGCTTAGTAGTGCTATACTTCAATGACTGCACCACCAGAGCTCCTTGGACTAGGACTAGAAGGATTTGCTAAGGAACCTGTATAGGAAAGGCAAAGGGCAGGAAGGTATAAGGGTCTTTAAAGAGTTATAGGTGGTCCGGTGATGCTAGAGTATAGGGAGCCCACAGAATGGAGATAGATCATGGGGCTTGTCAGCTCTACACCACAGTGTCTGATGCTGTCCTGCAGAGAATACATAATCAGGCCAAATCTCAGTGAAGCAGAATATTAATTAGAAAATCTTATTTTCCGCAATTTTGGAGGAAAATAGAGCTTATTGAATATCTCACTGTGACACCACAGTGGAGACCACTGGACATTAGTTTTGCTCTTACCCTCACTGCAGTCATCCCCTTGCCAGGAAGGTGAGCAAACACAGTGATAGCCACGACTGGTGGTGTCAGCAATGCAGTTTCCATCATGAAGACAAGGGTTCGTGGCACAGCTGCTGACTAAAAACACATTCCGAGAACAAAGCTGTTAATCACGCAGGAAATGCAAAGGCAGCTCTTGATAAATATTTTAATACTCCCAGCTAATATTTGATTCTTGCTTATTTCTGTTTATTTACCCTGAAAGGCTACACTACTAAAATACAAAGAGCCCCCAAGAGGTGCAAAAGACAAGTGCAGCAAGCCTGTGCACTGGTACTAGTTTGTGTACATACACAAATGTGAGGCCACTGGATCCCTGAATGCAAGATCTGGTTCATATCTAAATGCTGCTCACAGTTCAGGAGCTCAATTCAGAACTCATGATTATACTGCCTTTGTGATACTCAGAAAATTCCAATTTCAAACAAATTAAGAGGAAAAACATCCGTGATCAACCCATCCTCCCTAATGCAATTGTGCGAGTGTGTGTGTCTGCACGCATAGGACTTTATCAAAACCATAGCACCCTTTATCCAAGAACTCTCAAAATTTAACTGGGCCTCCATACATTGTGCAACTATTTAGAAAAATAAGCAGTTGAGCACTGCCATTGCCCCCTCTCTTTACATAATGTAAAAATCAGCCCTACCTGAATTTGTTTAGGCCCTAATGACACACAAGCTTCAATGTCCTCTTGGATTCCATCCCCCCAAGGCAGTGACCACGACTCTCTTGCTCTGTATAACTGCAGAGGCTTGCTCCTGGGGCCTCTTAATAAAAGTTTTTGACACTTAGAAAAGCCCAAACACACAACATAACTCCATCATCTGCAAGGAGTAAATCATCAGTGGAACAGGAAAAGAAGTCAAGCACTCTAATTCCAAACAATCACCCTGAGAAAAGTATGGCTGAATCTAAAGATGATGTTGCTATTCTTCATTGCTACCTTAACTATTACCTGAAAACACCTACATACACATGAACACTGTCACAGAGAATATTATTATCAGTCAGTAATTAAGCTCCTACTACTTACTGATAGTTATCATTGTAATGACTTGTGATTTACGTTCCCTCACCCTTGGTAATGGAGACTTGTGAAATACTTTCTGGTGTTGGAATATATTTGGCCTCTGGAAATGAAAACTTGTATGCTCTGAAGCAGGGCTCCCAAATTTCCCTAGAGAATGACCTACCTTTCCTTTCCCAGAGGTCTTTGGATCAATGGTACAAAGGGGTAGGGTTACTGATGCTTCATGTATTCTGGGATGATGGCAAATGGTGGTTTATGACCCCTATCCCACACCCTGAAGCCTGCAGGTTGATCATGGAAGACTGAGTCTCCACTCCAGTCATTACAAAGCATTTCTCTTCTTTTCTTTCTGGTCTGGACAAGCCAGAAGAACAATTTTGAACACGACATCAAAAGATGTATCATCCCACTTCTTTCTACCTTTTCTTAAATGGTAAAAATTCCTTTGGATGGCTTTATTTTCCTTGCACTAGCTACTTTAACCTGAATATAAAGGTAACCTCAGGTGTAATGTATAGGAACCCTGGACATACAGTCACTATGGAGAATGGTTAGTTAATTGTACGGGTTTATTGGATATGTATCCCCACCTCACCCCCAGCTCCATCATTTCAACCAGAATGATAACCTTAGGGAGACAGACCAGCTTGGGCTTCCTCTGGATCAAGAGAAGTCTCCCTTGGTGTTTGGGGAGTTGGGAAGCCTGGCGACTGACTCTGCAGCTCTGGACTCTGATCTGGGAGCAGGTAGACACATTCCATGTCTCAGACAGCCCACCTAAACCTTCTTTACTTCAGTCTCCCCACCCTCCCATCCCATACTGCTGCCCCTCTCTGACCTTGGAAGAGTGAAAGTCATGCTTGAAAGCTTGTGCAATTACAGAGCATTAAAAGCTACAACTGTGCTATCTACCAATGTCACACAAACCAATGCATCCTCTCCTCTTTCTTCAGGAAGAATTATGTAACTCGGGTGAGAACATTAGGCCCGCCGTGACATTATTTCATGGTTTAAGTGCTTCAACAGGAAGAATTTTAGATCACAAAAAAGACATAGACTATTTCAAATACTATTTTTGTACATTCACATGAATCTCGAGCCCTGTATGGCTCTCAGTGCTTGATGGGGCCTCCCTGGCAACGTGTCCTTGTGAGACTGAGTTTTACCTGAAGCCGGAGATGATAAGGTGGTCAGTGACTGTGTGCTGCCCTGAGCAGGGAAGGTGGTAGATTTAAGAGTAGATACTTGAGCAGTAGAAACGTTGGTGATTTGGTGAGGAGATGTACTGGAGAAATGTGAAGCTGGGCTGTGCTCTTCTGTAACACCGAGCCTTGTGGCCAGTTCTCTTGCTGATGCAGGTGCACTGGTCAGAGGTATCAATCTGGTGGTAGTGCCTATGTGAACTTTGGTCCTTTTGGTGGTGATGGCACCCTGTGTTGGAATTTGTGGCACCAGGATCTCAGGACTGGTTGGCAAGACCTGTTTTCCAGCTGTAGTCTGTATTATTGTGGCACCACCCATCAGAGCCACGGTGCTTGATAGGAGGCTGAGAGTGGTCATGGGAGGATGAGAGGTATCATGAGTGGTGGCTCTCAGAGCTGGAGACATATGGGCTAAGCTGGTGCTCGTAGCTAGAAGGGTCTGCTCAGTGGAAGACTCCATTAAGGCTGGGGGCAAAGGGACTCCTGAAGGAGAGCTCATTGTTACAGATTCGGCAGATGCTGTTGGCAAAGACGCTAGGTGTGGTGACTTTGGTTCCGTAATGACTTTTGCCTGGTGTGGGTCACTCTCGTTCTTAGGATCTGCTGTTTTACTACTGTGGAGCATTGCCATGGATGATGCCATAGTCCACGTCCTAACTGAAGTCCCAGAAGTCTCCCTTGCCCTGGACAGGGCTTGAGTAGAAGATGAATCTGGTAAGGTTGTTTGTGAGATAGAAGATGGGGTAGGGGTAGATGGGGCAGGAGTAGATGCCATCAAGGATATTGGTAAAGGTGATGGTGAGGAAGACAAAGTCACATCTGAGACAGACTTCAGTAGAGGAGAAGAGATCCTCGTTGATGGTAGGGTTGATGAGAACAACTGGTAGAATTGTGACACTGAAGGCTGAGGTAAAGGGGACCTTGATGGAGAAGATGAGTCACCAACAGATCCAGCATCCATGTCCAGAAGAACCAAAGTGTTTGGCACATTAATGGTGGGTGTGTAGGATGGAGGGTTGGGAGTACGCATAACCAGTGATTCAGTGGAAGACTGGGCATACTCTCCATCATAGGATGAGGCATTATTTCTTTCAGTCTGAGCATGAGAAGAATATTCTAAATGTGAAGAGTTGGAGATTTTAAGGTAAGAGGTTGAACTCTCCCTTATGTCTGAGGATGAACTGTTGTCTGTAATGGACAGTAATGCCCGTTCTCCTTTGGTGAAAGTAGATAAAACATAGGTGTGATCTGTGTGGTCACTGGAAGTCCTCTGTTCATTACTTGTGCCACTCACTTGACTATAACTAATTCCAGTGACTGCAAAGGAAAAAACCAAAGTTAGGTCAACTAAACAAATAAAAACCAAACAATGCCATCGAGTCAATTCCAACCCATAGGCAACCCCACTGGGTTTCCAAGGCTCTATAAATCTTTATGGGAGCAGACCACCCCACCTTCCTTCTGTGGAGCAACCGGTGGGTTCAAATCACTGACCTTTTGGTTAGCATCCAAATACTTTAACCACTATACAACAAAAGCTCCTTAATTAAACAAACAAGAACTCTAAAATAGACAGACTTCCAATGTCCTTTCATGAACATAAGTGAGATGAAATACTTTCTCGAGAGGTGGTTTTCAATGGCAAGCACTCTGATTAGGGACCATATGGGATGGCAGAACTGTCAGTGTCTGCTCTGAGTATATTCACTCCTCCTGTAAGGAAAAGTGGTGGCAGCAAAAGAAATGGTATTCAAAGAAAAGTCGGGGCTAGGAGCCTAAGGACCGGGAATAGGCCCGAGTTCCTTTCACATGCTTTTTTGGATAAAAGCACACTGATATTAGAAAAGGTCTTAAGACCCCAAATAGAACAACTGTTATGCCTAAATGGAAAAGGAAAATGCTCCTAACTTCCCACTCTGTGTAATGAGATAGTTCTTTCCCAGGAGATTTGCTTTAGCCGCAAAATGGCTGGTCGTCTTCATTTTAAGCCTCCTGGCAGACTTCATCCCAAATGCCTACGGTAAGCATATGTGCATGTGGAGGGATAGGGGAGAAGCAGTCTGAGGAGGGCTGTTCATCTTCCTAAAGGGGAAGAACCCAGAAAGTTCTCCTCATAAAGAGCTTGTAAGGTACTTTCTGGGTTGACAGAAAACATAATCATGGTAGGACTGTGAGTAAATTGGCAAATAAGCTGCAGGAATGTGGAAAAGAGAGTTTCTGCTACAGAGACATTACCTCCAAGGACAGATGAGGCAGCCAGTGAACTTGATGTGAGGTCTGTGTCCTTGGTCATGTCCAGGTGCTGTGTGGCACTCTCAGTTTCTCTGAACACCGAGGCAGAGTTCCCCACTTCTCCAGAAGTTGTGCTCCCATTGGTGAGCGATCGCAGAGTCCGCTCTCCATTTCCAGTAAAAGTGGCTGACGTGTGTGGGCTGTGAGGGTGAGAAGCCTTTTCCTGTGTGTCTGAGCTGCCTCCCAGCTGATGTTTGTCCTCAACGGCTAAAGGAAGATTGAAACAAGGAATGGCCAATAAATACAGGGATTGGTGGTATTAGCGGCTATCCAGTCAGCTCCCAACTCATGGCAACCCCATGCATAGCAGAACAAAACACTGTGTGATCCAGACATAGGGTTTTCACTGGCTGATTTTCAGAAGCAGATCACCAGACCTTTCCTCCTACTGTCTTATTCTAGATGCTCCACTAAAATCTGTTCATCATCATAGCAACAGACAGACAGGCAGTGGCTGTGCATGTTGTACATTGTCTGGAAATTGAACCCAGGTCTCCTGTATGGAAGGCAAGAATTCCACTGATGAACCCTTTCTGCCCCTAAATACAGCAATAGAGTAATACTACTGTATATGAAATTGAGTCTCAGAAAAAAGCCCTACTTCCTAGACTGTATGAGCCAAAACGCTTCCCTATGCAATCATCAGGGTCTTTGAGACTGACAATGTGGAAAAGCAAAATATGTGTTGTTTTTACAAACATGTAGCCATGACTGAAACCTCAAGAGGAACTACAGATCAGCATATCTGTTCACATGACCCGGATTTATGGGAAACTTTATTACTTCGGTGAACAGGATCAATACCATATTTCTGCTCAGTGATACATAATAAATAGAGATTATGTCAGGAAAATTGGTGGTGGTGGTGGTGGAGGAAGCAAGTAGTGGGCACAGACTAACAACCCTACTGGGACTTTAGACACTCTGAGGCCCAGGAGGGAGGCACACATTAGTCAGAAGCCTTCACCTCCTGGTAAGACGTGCAACACATGAATTAACATGGGGCCTCTCATTCTGTAGACTTTGCCTTAACACATCAGTGAGAAATGGCATTGTGGTTGGAGGTTAAAGTTGGTTTGGTTTTTGTTTTATTATTTTTTAATGCATTTGTTCTATTTTATCAATGGGGATGGAAGAGGGACAAATGACACATAAATATATATCCTTTCCTTCCTTTTTTGGGTATATTTTATGCTATAAGCTTAAAGAATCTTAGAACAAAAAGGGATCATAGGTTATCAAATAAACCCCTCTTTTCAGCTATGAGGAAAATGGGGCCCAATCTCTTCTTGGCCTCAATACCTCCCAATCTATCTCTGAGAAAACAGGCTCTTTTCTGGATTCCTACTTCCATTCTCAGCCCAGGCTAGCCCTTAACATCCTAGGGACACACCTTGATGGAAAACAGATGTAAAGGTGAGTTTCAGGTGAGATTATGATAGGTTTGACTTCACTGATAGGCAGGAATGAGAGTGGGGACAGAGACGTACAGTGACTTAGACAAACAATGACAAAACTAGAGACCAGGGAAAGATGTCAGGTCCAGGCTGAAGGGTCACCAGACCTATGCAAAGCCAGCCAGGAGAGGCTGAAGAGCTCAGTGCATCTGAGCACAATTTCTCCAGGCAAAGAGAAAAAGTTCTTGGCTTGGGAAATCTTAAAATGCTCTGGGGTAAATTAAGTCCAGGCATACAAGCATGTCAGGGTTACAGACTTAACCAAGTGGAGAGTCATGCCCTGAAGCAGGGACTGTATCTGAATCCAAAAGAGGAACCAACCATTGATGCTGATGTTGGGTTGTAGAATCAGTCAGCCTGGGCTGATTCTGAGAAAACAAGATAAAGCACTATTAACCCACAGTGAGATGTTTCAGGAGTGAATCTATTGCTTATCTAGCTCTTTATAATTGAACTCCAAGATGTGCTCACATTGAAATCACATTTTCCAGGCTAACCAACTAAGTGTGAACTGCAGACAGAAAGAGGACTGAAGAGATATCAAAGGGAAAGGCCACCAAGTCTGTAAAAGGGAAAGGGACCCAAGGTCTTGATCTGAGAGGGTAAAATTCTGAGCCCCACAGCTGTGAGTGTGACACAGGAGAGCATAAACATCATCCACCTGTGTGGCTAGTCTTTCATGATAAGCACATGATTTTCCACTTCACGAGTGTGATAATAAATGCTAATTTTCCTCATCAATTAGGATTCTCACATGGGGGAAATGGAGCTATTCTTAGTGGTGGAGAAGCAAGAATTTAAACTCATGATCAGCTTAAGTGATAAGTTAATGGATTTTGGCTTTAATCAACATATGCTTTACATTGATAAGGCTTCTGAGAATTGTTTTTTCCTAATTACTTTACATAAACATGATTAAAAAGGACCATTAAAGTAAAGGTTTCTCAAATAGAGAAATGAGACTCATCAAAATTCAAAACGTTTGTGCTGCAAATGATATCACCAAAAAGGTCAAAAAGATAACCCATGGAATCAAAGAAAATATCTGCAAATGATATATCTGATAAAGGACTAGCATCCAGAATATACCCTCTTACAACTACATCAAAAAAATGATTCAAAAACAGTCAAAGGATTTGAAGAGACATTTCCAAAGAAGATATACAAAAGGCCTTTCAGGAAGATATATAAAAGGAAACTTTCAGGAGTCCGAGGCAGGAGATTGGATTATGGACAGGACTGTGGAGAGCCCTGCCCATAATCCAATCACATAATGTATGATTGAATGTGTCCATAATCCAGGCACACATTCAAAATGGGGTGGTTGGCTGCTATCTTTGAGAGAGGCACTGGGGCCTGTTTCCTACTCAGGTCAAAATCCGACGTGCAAGAGATTTGGTTGTTATGCACTGCATATGCTTCCCTTGTTTCAGTCATCCATGACTGATCTGTTTCCAACCAATTTGAAGCCCTGCTTCATGCCCACTGTTGTTGTTAGCTACCACCAAGTTGGCCACTGACTCAAGGTGACCTCAAGTGTTATAGAGCAGAACTGTTCCACAGGATCTTCTTGGCTATAATCCTGACAGAAGCAGTTTGCTAGGCCTTTCTTCCATAGCACAGCTGAGTGAGTTTGAACTGCCAACTTTTAAGTTAGCAGCGGATCACAAATCACTTGCACCACCCAGGCACCTTTCATACCCACTCAAAAAAAAAAAACAAAAAACAAACTCACTGCCATCAAGTCGATTTGACTCACAGCTACCCCTCCTTGGGTTTCGGAGGCAGTATCTATACAGAAATAGATTGCCCAATCTTCCTTCTGAAGAGTGGCTGGTGGATTTGAACCACCAGCCTTCTGGTTAGTAGTCAAATGCCTTAGGCACTATGCCACCAGAGGTTCACTAGGATGGCTGTAATAAAAAAGCTGAACAACAACTATTGGCAAAGATGTGGAGAAATTGGAACGCTCAAATACTGCTGGTCATAGTGTAAAATGATGCAACTACTTTGGGAAAAACTTTGGCAGTTTCTCAAAAGGATAAACATAAATACCACATGACTTAGCAATTCTAAGAGAATTAAAGCACATGCCCACACAAAAATGTGTATGAGAATGTTCACAGCAGCAGTATTTATAATAGCCAAAAAGTGGAAACAACCTAAATGTCCATAAATTAACAAAATAAACAAAATGTAGTATAATATAGTATATTCATATAATAAAAATTATTTAGCCATAAAAAGGAATGAAGTACTGATTATGCTACATTGTGGATGAATCTCGAAAACATTATGCTGAGTAAAAGAGCCCAGATACAAAAGGCCACATATTAAATGATTTCATGTATATGAAAGGTCTGGAATAAGCAAATCCATAGAGATGGAAAAGTAGTAAGTTCCCAGGGGCTGGAGGGAGGATGGAATTGGGAGTGGCTGCTAACAGGTACAGTGTTCCTCTCTGGGGTGACAGATATGTTCTGGAGTTAGAGAGTGGTGATGGTTGCACAACTTTGTGAATATACTAAAACCACTGAGTTGCAAACATTAAATAGGTAATTTGTATGGCATTATGAATTATATCTCAATAAAGCTATTTTAAAAAAGGGGGGTGGATGGGTTTCCCCTGATGAATGTTCACACCAGGGGTGAACAACTCATAAAAAAGTATTGTTTTTATCTTCTAGGAGCCCTGTGATTGAGGCAGGGCTGGGGACAGGGAAGGAGCTCTGTGGGAACAACAGTAAAACACTCAGCTACTAATCAAAACATTGGCAGTTCAAACCCACCACTGGGTTTGTGGGAGGAAGACCTGACAATCTGCTTCTGTAAAGATTTCCAGCCTAGAAAACCCCATGGGGCAGTTCTACTCTCTAACACATGGGGTTGCTATGAGTTGAAAATTTACTCAACAGCACCTAACAACAACAACATGGGGATGGGGAGCAGGCGGTAAGAGGACATGGTCTCTGAGCTGTATCTGGGAGGGGCAGAGGGCAGCAATGGCTCCTTGGAGATGTAACAGGAAGAATTTTGGAATATATAGGCATATTTGTATCAACGTACTAGAAGAATGACTTAAGAGTAATAAAACTGGAGGGACCCAAGGAAGTTATTTCATTACTGCATGGCCTTACTGTGCCACAGGGAGCTCCTGAGTAGTACCAACAGTTAATACACTTGGCTGCTAATGGAAAAGTTGGAGGCTAGAGTCCACCCAGAGACACCTCAGAAGAAAGGTCCGCCAATCCACTTCCAAAAAAATCAGCTACTGAAAATTCTGTGGAGCACAGTCCTACTCTGACACAAATGGGGTCGCCACGCATTGGTGTCAACTTGATGGTAACTGGTTACCAGTGCTTTGCCACAAAGATCACAAACATAGTGAGTCCCCTCTCTCCTCGGTGGGGTTCAGTTTTATGAAGTGAAAACTCACTTGAACGCTCACCACGTGATGCTGAGGAATCTAGGCTTCTTGAGGAAAATGTAGACAAAGAGTCTGTGGATGGCTCAGAGTAATTCCTATCCCCCACCATGCTTCCTTCAGACTGTGGGGCAGAGTCAGAGAACTGGGTCCAAACTGAAGAGAAAACTGAAGAGTTCACAGCTTCAGGAGATGAAGTCGAGCTTCCTGTCACATTTACAAATGTCTTGTTGTTGGTCAAGGACCAGTGTGCTGTGCTCTCTCCACCTTCAATGGATGGTGCTGATCTAGACACAATCTCAGTCTGAGAAACGGAACTTCCACTGCTTGCATCAGAGCTGCTGGCAAGCTGATGTCCTCCAAAGGCTGTGAAGTTACCATGGAAAAAAAGAAATGCCACCATTATTGGACGTGAAAGAGAATCTTCAACAACTGAGAAGTGATTCCTTTCTTACATTCCCTTTGCCAAGGAACCCTGTACAGCACTTGTTATATATATAACCAGACATGTATTTTCATACTCTAAACAATGATTTCAAAACTTTCTAGTGTCAACAAATAGCAATATCTCAATAAAAGGTGGTGAAGCGGGAAGTAGGAGGTCAGTGTTTTAAAATGACATGTGCAAAGAGGCTTATAGGCTTATAGGCTTGAGTATTTTATTCTATTTTCCCTAAAAAGTATTCAAGGGAGTGTCATTATGCTAGCAAATACAATATGCATAGTGCACACTCAGAAAACTCTAAAGCAGTTCTAATATTGGAAAAGATTATTCTAATAAATTCTGAAATATAGCAAAATCAAATTAACTATAGGGAGTAAATAAAACCCATAGATTTGGGAAACATATCTGCATGTTTTAATTGTAAAGATGATCCATACACAAAATAACAAGGTCATTTTAGAAGCAGTCTGTCTCTCACTGGACAGAATGACTGCTGCAGAATGAAAAGAAGGTGGAACTGGCAGGGAGAGCCCTGAAGTGAGGGGTAGAGTCTGCTGTGACTGAGCCCAGTGACCGTGCACTCATTTACCCAACTCCTCTGAGCCTCCGTGTCCCCATCTACAAAAAAAATGAGAGGGGTGATACTTGTTCGACTTCCTGTATGATGTTCTCATAAGGATGAAAATCAAAATGTAATAACGTGGTATTATAGGTAAAGACTGGAAATGGTTTTGACGCAACCTCAAGAAAATTCATGTATTTAAAAACGTTCACAGCAGATGAAGCAAAGTTTGAACACTTACTTGGGGAATCACTTTGCCAAAATCCCATGGAGATCTCAGAAGATATGAGTCCAAATCCATTTTCTGTTGATGGTTCAATGGATTCTCCATTCCCTAGATTCCCAGTCACTCTACTATGCCTGCTGGAGTCCTCTACAGATGGTGAAGAATGGACTGATGCTGAAGTGGTACCAATTTCGGAGGACTCGGGGAAGTGTTCTGTCTCATTTACAGGTCCTAGGCTGACAGGTAAAGACTGGACCATCCTGGGGACACTATCGGTGAACATGGTGGCATCATACATAGTCTTTGTCTGACTGACTGAAGGATTATTGAAGGCAGTGAAATTATTTAGCATCTTTATACTTCCAGAAGCTAAAACAGAAAAAAAAAAAAAAAAACCTTCAAACCTAAGAGGTTTAAGAAAATCAGGGAAGTATCTACATAAAAATAATGTTTCTTAGATTTTAGTAGATAAATCTAGGGACAGTGATTCAAAGGCCACCAAACATGGAAAGATGCTCAACATCATTAGCCATCAAACCAAAACCAAACTTACTCCTATCAAGTTGATTCTGACTAATAGCAACCTGCAGTGGGTTTCTGAGAGTGTAAATCTTTACAGAAGTAGATTGCCCATCTTTTTCTACAGAGCAGATGGATGGTAGGTTTAAATTGCTGACCTTCTGGTTGGTAGCCAAATGCCTTATCCACTACACCACCAAAGCACCTTCAGAGAGATGCAAAACCACAAAGAGATACCATTTCATTCCCTGTGGGATGACTAAGATTAAAAAAAAAAAAGAAAAGAAAAGAACAAATATTGCTGAGTATGTGGGAAAATTAAAAACCTTACCCATTGCTGGTGGAATGAAACATGGCACAGCTATTGTGGAAAACAGTGTGCCGGTTTCTCAAAAAATTAAAAATAGAACTACCATATGACCCGGAAATTCCACTCCTAGGTTTATAACCAAAAAACTTGAAATCAGAGACTCAAAAAGAGACTTGTACACCAGTGTTCACTGCAGCACTATTTACAATACCCAAAACATTGAAAGAACCTAAGTGTCCATCAATGGATGAATGGATAAGCAAAACAGAATGTTGT